GAGCCTGAAGCAAGCCCGGGGGGGGGGCGTGGAAATCACGCAAGTCCATAGGCACTTGCACGCTAGTGTTCGCTTGAAGAGGGGCGAGTGGGGGGGGGGGGGGGCGAACGCCATGCAAGTAAACTTGCCTGGGTCAAAAAAAAAACAGGCTCCAGGAGAGGGGGGAGCAGGAAAAAGAGGAGGACCAAGCGGGTTGACCCCAATAGGGGGTCCAGCGACAAGGGGGTGGTGCGATAGATTTGGTGCAATCGAGTTGTGGGGTTGCAATACATTTGGGGCGTGCAGTACATTCCGGGGCGCAGATGTATTGCTGGATTTTCGCGTGCAATAATAGATTAGTTGCAATGCAATGCAATACAAGTCTCCAGCACAATGCATTTGCAATACAAGTGTCCCAAATCTATTGTACCACCCCCTTTCAGCTGGACCCCCTTTTGGGTCACCCTAAATCAAGGAAGCGTACACATAAATAGATCACTGTGCATGGATTTGCGACGGGACCCGCTTCTATCCCAAATCGGCGCGCTCTGTCGACAAGTCATGCGGCGTTGGCGCCATGCTTCAGGGAGTACCTTTCCGATCCATGGATCTGGCGCCCACGCGCTGGATGAGGAGGAGGAGGAGAAGGAGGAGGAGGAGGAGGCGGGAGGTGGAGGCAGGAGGACGTCTACTGGAAGAAAACCCACAACAATCACCCGTGGAACGAGCATGCAGACGTCGCGGCCAAAGCAGCAGCCAGTAGCGATCAACTTCCAACACGTATGTACAATACAAGGGCCTGTTTAAGGCCACAATCGACACCAGCTGGCAATGGCTCATACATACTTCGGCCGAAGACAGCCAGGCGTATCCGGATAACGACACGATGTTCGAATGCGAGGAACGTCCTCAGCCTGTTCAGCTACAGGAGTTACCAACACCACCCCAGCATTGCAGAACAAAAACCGACATCAAGTTCATGCTGATGTCCCTACAGCATCCTTACCCTCAGTGACAAGGGCAACATCTGCCAGAATGGACAGTTACTTCCACGAAAGAGTTATAAGGCCCTGAAGGTATCACCACTATGTGCACGGCTACTTGCAGATCGCGTATCCCCCGCAGGAGTACAATAATCCAGACGCAAGCAACGACAACAATACGTCAAGGGCTTCGTTGCCATTCAGTCTGGAGCTGAAGATGGTCAGTACGGGTGTAATCTTTGAATCAACGCCAAGATCAGCTACGCCATTGATGGGAATAATGGATACTACCCCAAAGAAAAGCGCATCACGATACAGCTACAAACGCCCCGCTTGCTTGTGGTACTCCTGGGTGCATTATGTTTGACACACGTCACTCGTGTAGGACAGGCCGCGCATACGCATACGAAACCAGCCGCCAGGCAGACTTACGAGCAGCTGCTCTTCATAAGTGGGAGCCCAGTCTCATACTACGTGTTGGCAGCCTGATGACCCAATTCACAGGTGACATGGGCTGGCACGAGTGAGAAAACGAAACTGACACCTACACGCGCCACATGCTTACCGAAACAGACATGTACGCCGTGGCCACGCTCCTACACCCCTACACCATGACTGAGGATACACATGGCCAGTAGCAAAAGACGGGTCACATTACAGGATCGGCTACATCTTAGTCTCCGAACAGCTACTCCACTGTGCTTCGGCTTGCGCGACGCAGAGGGTCTACGTCAGGATCACGGACAAAAAAGATCACGGACCGACCATCGCGGATTTCTTTCGCAGGCAGTGTATACGCAAATCGAATATTGCGTAACGGTTTCCAGCATGATGAAGCCAAACGTGGAGAGCAAGCGCGTGCTAAAAAGTTTGGCACGCTAAGTGAGCACAGACTACCTACTTGGGATGCCAACGCCAACGAGCACTTCGCAGCCACCGCATTAGCCATCAAGCGCGCTGCTAAAGAGATATACCAACAGACAGAGTCAACGCCCAATATGCAAGAAATTTTCACCAAGGCCATGCGACTTATCTGATTATGCCGACACGCGCAGCATGCCTTTTGTGACCATGCTAGAGGTGATTCTGATTTTGGTGAACTCTCGTACCACATGCAGAAGTACGACAACTTCGGCCACGAGGACACATGGTGCCATGAGTTCGCTAAACTGACGCAGACAAGCAAGGGTTGCCGCTGATGGAAGCTTAAGACGCAGGACATCTGCCAAAACACGCGTACTTCTTTGCAGTTGCCAAGTTCGCGCTAATGGAGGTATCGGAGAAAGACCGACACTTATATTACAAGATCATTGCCAAGGAGCCCGCCTACACAACCAAGAAAGGCGATGCGAGATGAACGTGGGTTCACATAATTACTAGGCATCACGCGTTGCCCTAGTGCGACACTGCGAGAATGGCCAGCCAATAGATGACGACTCGCAACGGGGACAGCAAAAGGTGAATAACAACTTTACCAAGATCGAGAGGGCGCAGAAGATGGGCCGGGACAACATGGCGCGCCTATGCAATGCCCAGGGTAACTAACATACTACATGACACTTCTTGCAGCGAGGTGGCTCCGGACACGGCGATGCCGAAGAGGAGCTTGCAGCGCGACCTTCCAAGGCCGACGGGGGTCGAGCCGCAGAACCGGAAGGACTTTGTGACGACCCGGCAGTTGCCGCGCCACATGCGATCATAAGACACCTGCGTCCACTCTTCATTAAGGTAGCACTACTTCAACAAAAGCCACTATTTGCCGACAAAGGAGTCGCCGCGGACGCTTTTGAGAACAATGGCGCGCAGAGCGATACTCAATGCGACCGATCCGTCTTCATGGGGTCCGACTGCCAATTACCACTACGCGTGCATTCAGGCCAAGTTGAACGATGCGCTTCAAGCTACCTACGTGGATTCCACGCGCGGATGTAGGAGAAGCAGCGGGCCCGCCATGGCTATCCATGTCGTGAGATTAGAATTTGCTGGCTTGCACAGCGCGTGCAACTGCAAGCCTGCCGCCCTATGACCGCAAGAATGCGAATTGCGCAGTTGTCAGGGAAATGGTCGCCCCGCCGGTGAACGCAGATGCGGGCGCCCTCCAGGGCGAGCTTGATTCGTGCAGAATGGCCGTGCAATTCAGATGTAGGGTAGAACTGCGACCACAGCGCCCATCTGTTGGCAACCATAAAGGGCCACTGCACCTTGTCCCTGTGCTCGTGCAAGCACACCTGGGTGCGTGGTTCGCAGAATGGCACGGACCGCAACTGGACCCAGACCTGACGCGATCCTCGCCGACTACATTTTCCGCGCGCTCTACGCCAAGACGTGAATGTCCATCGGGGGCAGACTAGCAGATGATGGATTATTGCTAGATCTGTCTGCGCATGAAAGAGCACATTCAACAATGTGATGCGACCATGGTCCTTCCATGGCCTACGCCGGCTCATGCGCGGACAACTCGTTTCTACGCCATAATGTGGCCCGCAATCGTTAACTGTACACAGGTAGTGCATGGCGAATTGCAGGGGCGTGCGCTCGCGCCGAGCTACGGCCCGGTCAAGGCGCGCACCCCCGTGCCAATCCATGGAACGACTGCCAGGACAGCAACGCATGCGCTCTTCGGTCCGCACAGAGGAAAATTGCAACTTCTAGCGCTGCGCATGTCCGTCGGGGAAGATGCGGCCCCGCCAAGATACTTTCTCGCTCTTGCATTATTTCGTGTTTGCTTCAAACAACGTTTTCCGCGGAGGGCGTGATTTTGGCGAGGGGGTAAGGAGGTCCAGCGCGCAGCTCAGAGCGCGAGCCAGTCCAAATCGCTGTGATGCGGCCCTGCGTCAACTGCGGCTGCGGCGAGAATCCGAGCGCATCTCTCTCGTGTGCGAATTGCAAGGCGACGAGCGACGCTGGAGATCCTGCTTTGCTCCTTGATCGGCCTTCTGGTGCGCGGACGACTTGTGCTGCTCCTCGCGCCGGCTCGCCTTTCGCCTTTCGACGTTGGCCCGCGGGCCCCGTGCTTCGACGGCTCGAGCTGGTGGGGCCCTTGTCCAGGTCAATGGCTGATGCAGTTCCCGCGGGGGAGTCAGGGCGCTCGCGCTGGCGGGCAAGGTGGGCAGCTCCTGCGACAGAAAGTCGTTCGCCCTGGGCAGCGCGGATCTCAAGCTCTGGTTCCGGGGCCGCAGAGGGGCCTTCATCGACCGAAGTCCATTGCAGATCTCGCGGGAGAGGGGCTCGAGAGTTGCATCGAGCTGCGCGGCGCAGTTGGCAATGCCTCCGAGGCCGCCCGTTGTCGCGCCCAACTTCAGGCCTTGTGCCCACTTCCAAAGGCCCCCTAGTCTCTGGGGGAACTGTTCGCCAGGTGACGGAGAGTTCGGCCGCGACGCGGCAAGCGCAGTGTAAGGGGCCTTCGCGAGAACAGATAGTCCTAGGAGCAGCTCGCGGCCCGGCGGCGCCACCTGGCCACCGCGGCAGAGGGGCTGAGGCACTTGGACATCGCGCGCAGCGAGCTCGCGCAGAAGGTCGCCAACGCCAATGCGTCCAATGATTGACAGGGCGCCCGAGTGGAGTTGCCGAAGATTTCCCGAGGGGAACTTGCTCGCGTGGTGCGCGGGTGCCTTCGGCGTCGACATGGGCGACGCGTTTACCGTGGATGCTGATGCGGAGCTTGCGCCGAAGGATCTCCGGGAATGCGGGTGCGGCAGGGGCGGCTCCAGGAGGGGTTGCAGGACGTGTCCCGCGAGCCGCTCGTCGAGGTCGCCGTCGCGGCCCGCGGGGCGCGCGGCCCGGCGTGCTTCGGCGACCCGCCTGGCTGCCAGGAAACGTCGCGCGGGCGACGGCGAGGCGGCTGGCGGCGGCGAGGCGAGCCCTGCGTCCTCCCCAGGCGCTGCCTCTTCCGGCGCTGGGCTTCTTCTTGGGCCCGGGCCTGGGGGGGGCCCCGCGTTGGGCGAGGCAGGGAACAGGCCTGCCGGCGCAGCGGCGCAGCTGGCGATTTGACTCGACGGAGTCCGCGCTGGCGCCTCCGGCCAGAGCAGCCCGTCTCAA